CTGGGGTAGAGCTGGGATGTGAGCCAAATCTGTTGGCTGCAAAGCCAGAGCTTTTTCTAAGAAGTGGATCTTATCACAGAAAAGCATAGAAGATTCTGTAAAAGGGGCTGAAAATTGGAGATAACGCTTCCTCGTGCTCTTTAAAATCTGTCAGTCTCTGGATATTATTTACATTTTTTTTCCTTACTGGAGTCTTATAAGACCTGGTGAATTGGCTCCAATAATCAGGAGAGCTCATTCTACTCTCTCGATAGGATCTGGTCTTCATGTTTTTCTTGGGCAATTAAGTCAGACAGCGCTTGTTTTTGAGAATCTCCATTGCTTGCTGTTCCTTCCTCCTGCACTTTTATTTTCCATCGCTCCCACAGGGAACAAACCTTGGGTTCCCACCTAGTGCCATGGGAAGTTCGGTGAACCGACACGTGTAAGAACCATCACTGCTCTTGAGAGGCAGACAGTTTTTTGTGGCGTAATGGCTGTGCGTTGGGCTGCTAACCCCAAGGCCGGCAGATCAAAGCCACCAGCCACTCCACGAGAGAAAGAAGAGGCTTTCTACTTCCATTAAAGAGTTACGGTCTCACATATCCACATGGCAGTTCCCCCTTGTCCTCTAGGGTTGCCACCAGTTGGAATCAACTCAATGGTAGTGATTTTGCTTGCTTGTTTTTTATTTTCTGTGGACAAAGCTGAAGGATGGGCCACGGAGAAGGAAAGGATAGGGCCACAGAGACCCTGGTTCTTGGCTGCGGAGCTAGACTTGCATGCACATAATACAAAGGTATGGAAGGAGTCGGGGGAGCTCAAGTGGGCCTGGTGATCATCGTGAGCTGGGGCGAGAAGAGGCAACCTTGCATTTCCCGTCAGGACACATTGGGGTTGTGGTGCTGCTTTGAAATTCCATCTTGCTGGGGAGGAGATGAGCCAGTCAGGGTGCAGTATAGCACCAATGAAACATACAACTTTCCTCTAGTTCTTTAATGCTTCCTCCCCACCCCCCACTCCCCACTATCATGATCCCAATTCTACTTTACAAATCCAGCTAGACCAGAGGATGCACACTGGT